TATGTTTGCTATTTATTTAGATGTTGGCATACATTATCTTTTTATATTTATAAAAACTTAAGTATTTATATGAGTATTTAGTATTTATATGTAGTATTTGCCGAAAGATGATCAGATCAGATTTTTTTCTAATATCTGCTAACTGATTCATTGCATAAAACATTAGTCTCTCCATCATAAAGCATAAGTTTCTCCATCATAAAACATAAGTCTCTCCATCATGAAACATAAGTCTCTCCACCATAGATGAACCATTGTGTCTTATACATAGCATGATCTTATGCTTGCAATCTTATACATAGCATAATCTTATGCTTGTTTATCACCATTGTGATAAACAAGCATAAGATTATGCTATGTATAAGATTGTTTTAAAAATTAATTATAAGGAAGTATAATCTTTTTCAAATACCAAATTTATATCAATAACTTTTTGTTATGTTAGTTTAAATGATTTTTAACGAGGTTCAAAATAAAATTTAATTACAAGCGCTGGCTAAACAGAGAAGACTGCAGGCTTCTATAACATATAAGATCTTAATAATAACAATGCATTAAAAGCAAAGAGTTTTAAAGTATTTGTAAATTGTTTTTATATTTGTTATTACTTTTTGTTATTTGTTAGTATTTGTTGTTGTGAAAATGAGCACATATTTTTTTCTAAAAAAAGTTCTCAGTTCAAGTAAAAAAAACTAATGGCGTCTATATTGGCTTGTGCTTTATTTAAAAATAGAAAAGTCAATGTTATCAATAGTTTACAATATTACTTTTTTTAAGCAAATTTTTTCTAGTCTACACCTAGCCCTATTAGAAAAATATCATGCGAGAACTCCGCCGAATACAAAAATATTTATTAATTGAATACTAATTTTTATAAAAAAATAGTGACTCATAACATTGATGAGCGACCAATATATATAAACAGGGAGATGAGCAACCAATATATATATACAGGGTGTTACCCAGCCAGATGGCACCGCGTGTAACGCGGTATTCCCAATAAAATTCCCAAAAGTTTATAAGGTTTAAAATTTCCAAAGGTTTATAAGGTCATAGTAAAAAAAAAAAAAAAGTCAGTCTCAGATTTGAAGTGTTGCGCTAGACTAGTAAAAATTAGTATGCATGACAAAAAAATGAATTAAATTGATCGATTTTTTTTTTATGTGTAAAAGCGTGTCATCATTAACAAGCGTGTTAACCTTAACAAGATCATTCATTCAAAAGTTAAAAAAAACTTTTTTTTTAAATATATTTGAAAAAGTAAAACATTCTTTTTGAATGTTATAACTGCTTTTTATTATTTTGATCCAACTCTTGCAAACTATACTGACTTGCGCTAAGTCATAATATAAAATTGTTGCGCACTGAATTATTGTGCAATGGTTTATATTATGTAATCAATTATATATATATATATATATATATATATATATATATATATATATATATATATATATATATATATATATATATATATATATATATATATATATATATATATATATATATATATACTACTGTGATCAAAAAGTAAGGTGAATTTTTAATTTAAACTTCCCGCCTTATTCGAATCGTCCAATCTTTTTTATTTTTAAGTTGGTAGGAATGTCATTAACATTTGCGCCAAATTACATGTCGAACTCATAATAATTTTTTTTTTGTTTACGCTTGTTTCTGAAGTACCAAAAGTGCATTCGGCGATTTTCACGATACTTAATTTTGTTGAGCAAAGAAGTGCTATTAAATTTTGTTTGCGGAATGATATTTCTGCTGCTGAAACGTATCGAATGTTGCAAAAGGCCTTCGGTGAAGAGACTATGTCTCAAAAAAATGTTTACAAGTGGTACAAAGACTTCAAAGTAGGCCGAGAACGTGTTGATGACTTGGAACGCTCTGGACGACCATCGACTTCGATCGATGATCGCCACATCAACAAAATCAAAGAATTGGTGCTTGCAAATCGTCGGTTAACCATTCGAGACCTTGTTGACATGGTTGGAATATCATTTGGGTCGGTGCAAGCAATTTTGAAGGATCATTTAGGCCTCAGAAGACTCAAATCACGTTTGGTGCCGAAATTTCTCAATTTCTTTGAAAAAGAGCGTCGCGTTAAAGCGTGTGAAGCAATGCTTTCTGACTATCAAGACGTCTACAAACAAATTATTACTGGCGATGAGACTTGGGTCTGCGCATACGACCCTGAAACAACCGACCAATCAAGTGAATACCGTGAAAAAGGCGAGCCGAGACCGAAGCAACCACGTCAAAGTCGCTCAAAAATCAAGGTCATGTTGACTGTTTTCTTTGATTATTGTGGTGCCGTGCACTACGAATTCCTTCCAACTGGCCAAACTGCCAACAAGGAATATTATTTAAGCGTTATGCAACGTTTGCGTGAAGCTATTCGCAAAAAGAGACCGGAATTATGGGCCAATAACTCTTGGATTTTGCACCACGATAATGCGCCTTCGCACACAGCACTGGTTCTTCGTGAGTTTTTTGCCAAAAACTCTACCCATGTTGCTCCACAACCACCGTATTCACCCGACTTCGCACCGTGTGACTTCTGACTGTTCCCAAAGTTCAAGAGACCACTCCGGGGAAATCGTTTTGAGTCCATTGAAGAGATCCAGCGTGAATCGGCACGCGCATTGAAGGCTATCCCTACCGAGGACTTTTCGGCATGCTTCGAAGACTGGAAAAAACGTTGGCAAAAGTGCATTGGGGCCGGGGGGGATTATTTTGAGGGGGACGATACAGATTTGGAAGAATAAATAAAGATTTTTCATTTTATAAAAATATTCACCTTAGTTTTTGATCACAGTAGTATATATATACATATATTATACATTAAATTTTCTAAGTTTTACTTCAACATGTTATTAAATATTAAAATTATTTTGTAAATTTGATAAATATAGTAAATGTTTCACTACAAAATAAAAAAAAAAATTCTTAAACTTCCTGCATTCTATTACAGTAAATTTTTTTTGAGCAGTAAAAACTTTTATAGCTCTTTGTTTGTCAAATTTTCTTTTGAATAAGTAATGTTGTTAATGATTAAATAGATAGCTTGTGTGAAAACCCAAATTAAATACTATTCTAAAGAATTTTTAATAAAACAGTACAGGCCTTGCGATGAATAAGAGCTGCGCGACGCATAAGCACGACGTGATTTTTGACGTCATTAAATTCTTTTTATTTGCTTTTCATATTTATCGACATTAACTGCACCAATTTATTTAATTACCGCAAAACTACTTTAAATCGTTTATGTAGAAATGTTATTATTTAAAAATGTTTTGGAATGTTTCGTTTTTTAAAATGTAAAAACATTTGTTTATTTTCTCGAGTTTGTCACGTTTTGTCTATACTAAACGAATAAAAAACATTATAACTTAAATTTAAAAAAGATTATAAAATATGCTAATATTTGATTTTTTTTTTCTTAAATATGTAATTTAAAGTTTTTCAAATAATTATTTTTTCTTTTTAAAAAGTCAGCGAGTAATAAACTGGAAATTTTAATATTGTATGATTAAAAACTGCAATAGCTAATATTTTTACAAGCGATTTTATATAATATTTATTTATTTATTTTTATTTATTTTCATAAAGCGGTTGATAAGCACAATCAGTCGTATTAATAAAAAACTTAAACGAACGTTTTGAATAGATTTTTAATGCTAACAAGGAATTTTATTTCTAGTAAAATAAAATAAAATGTTAGAATAAAAATCTTATAGGTATAAAAGAAATATTTTAGCGAAAAAATTATTCTTAAAAATTATTCTTAAAAATTATTCGAAAAACTATTGACGTTCTATTTTTCAGCAGCTGTTCTTGAGCACGCTTCGATGAGTTTCGGTAACTTTTAACATAAAAGCGATCGTTATTATTTAAGTAATTTTTTTGAGTTCTTTTTACAAAAATTTTAATAACTGTACTTTTTCATTGAATCAAGTAGAATACGTTTTAATATTAATCTTTTTTTTTTTTTATTTGCCCTCACCAATTTTTAAAATGTTTCCTCGAAATCACTCTTAAATACTTTAAATACGTCTAACAGTTAATAAATATTTTTAAATCTATGGAATAATTTTAAAACCTATCAAACCCCTGTAAAATAATTATTTAAGTTTAAAATCTAAAACTAAAAGAAAGTATTTTTGTTCAATTTTATCGACAACGTTGCTATTGCTGAATAATTTTATTAAAATGTTAGCTTAAAAGATTTAAACTTTTTTTTTTAATTTTTGAATTTTTTCTACTTGAAAATAATGAGCATATTTAATTTTTTTAAATTCAAACTTTTATTTCAACTGCATGCGGTTTTTAAAATACTTGATTAAATGTTAAAATAATCGTCAATTACTTCATTAAAATTCCGCTCAAAAATATCTTTAAATATACTCAAACAAAAAATTTTTTGCTCGACGCAAATAGCCCTAGCTACACGCAAAATCGCCCTTGGACGACGTAAAATTCACATCGCCCGACGCTTTATCGCAAGGCCTGCAGTATATATAATAAGTTTTCATGGCGTGATAAATGTTGCTTGATATGCATTTATTCTTGTAGTATTAATGTTACAAGCATATACTTGTAACAAGTATAAAACCAATTTTTGTATTCAATGAGGACTTTAAATGAATAAATAGATAGTTCATGCAAAAAACAAAAAGCTCTCGTAAATAGCTGTTTAGAGGAACAGTTTGCAGTTATGTTTGTGGCTATATTTTAACATACTACTCAATCGCTTTATTATTCAAACATATAAAAGTTTAAACTAAAATCATTGAAATAATAAAAAAATATTTATTTTAATTTGTTTTAAAGTAGTGTTTTAGTTTCTTCTCTCTGTTTTAATTTGAAAATCCTTTTAATATTAGCTTTCATGTTTTCAACTCTATGTATCAAAAGAGCTTTTTTTATTAATAATTATTTTATAAAAGTTTTTTTTTTTAATGAATAGGTATCTAATCAAATTTAATTTTTAGGAAAATTCGGAAAATTCGGTAGTTGAAAATGCTGCAATACCAATTATTCAGTAAGATGCTTTTTAAAAATTGATTTAATGATTGCAATACTTGTGATTTCAGTGTGATTTATTTTTCTTACAAAGATATTTACTATTTTTATAAAGAGGTTTATCCTTCTCTTACAGAGTAATTTCCTGCCATTACAGAGTGATTTAATACTTTTATAGAGAGGTTTATATTTTTTATAATGAGTCAGGGTGTTAGTCAGGAATATATTTTAATATATATATATATATATATATATATATATATATATATATATATATATATATATATATATATATATATATTATATATATATATATATATATATATATATATATATATATTTATATATATATATATGTATATATATATATATATATATATATATATATATATATATATATATATATATATATATATATATATATATATATATATAAATATATTTTTGAACTCGTCATTCAATTAAGTCCTTTTTCTGTTACTGTTCCTAAGTGCTCCAAAAACTCTTATTCGTCTAGTTTTTTTCCTCGAACATCAGTTCTTTGGAATTCGCTTCCTTCATCTTGCTTTCCTGATTCATATAATTTGCAATCTTTTAAGTCGTCTGTCAATCGTTATCTTGCTCTACAATCTTCATCTTTTCTCTTCCAGTAACTTCCAACACTAATTAGTAGTTGCTTGCAGCCTTGTTGCCTTGCAGTTGCTTGCAGTCCTTGCAGCCTTGTAACTAGTGGTTGCTTGCAGCCTTGCAGCGAAGATAATTAAAAAAAAAATATATATATATATATATATAATTTAATATTGCAACTCTGCGTTTCATGTGTTACCACAATCATTAGGCAAGTAGTAAAAGATTAATTTTGCTGCGATTTGTTTAGTGGATGTTACGGGTTATATTTGTATTATGGATTGTTACGGGACAGAAATTGATTAGTAGTTAGCTTAATAATGTTATTAATTTGTTTTTAGTTAGCTAATAGTTGTGAAATAGTTATGTTTAATGTTGTTTAAAATAATTGTTTATGTGATAATGTGCATTATTTATGTATTAAAAAAATTAAAATTAAAATTGATATAAAAATATATATAATATTATGAAACATATTACAATAGCTGTGTATGTGAGTAATTTATTAGTTAGCCTAGAGATATATGGAGTAGATTAGTATAGTTATTTTTAGTTGTTATTTAGGTTTGTAGCGAGCTTTGTAATTTTTTAATAAGAATTTATTTTCGTGGGGGCACTTTGATATAATTTCAGTTCTGTAATTCCTCAGGTTTTTGATACAATATAATAGCAAATTTCCCATACAGACATAGCAGGTACCTTTTGGAAATATTTGAGTAGGGGGGTATGCCAGGATATTAGGAATATTTATTGTTATTGTTCTAACAACTTGTTGGCTAACACTGTGCAAGTAATTTAATACTCTTACAGAGTAATTTTTTACTCTTACTGAGTAGTTTACAAACCTTACAGAATGGTTTCTTTATTTTAAACCTTTTCTGCTAATTTGGGTAGATTTCTACATTCAAGTAAAAATTCAACATGGTTACATTTTTGGTTGTTTTCCATTCATGGTTCTAAACCACTTAATTTGAAATTTTACCCTAACTTTGAGCTCTAATATCTCTTAAGGCCATTACTTGCAAGTAGTTTTCTTAGATGCTTTTAAAAGACACTAAGGCATACATTGATTATATGGGAAAAAAATCATGTGCATGCAAAGACCTGGAAAGGAGTAACCTGATTTGTTATGTTACCCATAATAACCATTGCCTTAGGTCTGCCATGAACAGTATAAATGATTTAGTTTCCTTATACATGCATCCTCCAAGATCTGGAAAAAAATCCATTTGCTCAGGTAATAAAAAGCCTGCTAAAGTCCTAGAATTAACCTTATTTTGCCAATTTTTTAACTAAAAAAAGTACCCTAACATTGGTATATATATGCTTAGCAACAACTACTTTACTTAATTAGTTGTGCAGTTAGAAATTTTGATATAATACATTTTTATAACGAATAATTATAATTTTTTCATCAGAATACTAGAGAACTTGGTAAAAATTAGTTTTTTAACTTTAATGAAAGAAATTAAAGAACGAACCATTAAAATTAATGAAAGAAAGAACGGTTAAACTTCAAGATTAATGTTTTTTCCATTAACAAATTGATGGGAAATACAGTTTTCTAAGAATTATCAACAAAACAGATTTTTAAAGAAGTTTATTAATGGCCAATCTGAATTTCCAGTTGTTTCCTCTTTTTAGAAATAATAATCTCCTCTTTGATTAGTTGGTATTTGTGCAACAATCCTACAAACATTGTCAAGAGATGAATATTAGAGAATATTTTCTTTGGTTGGCCACTTGAAGCAGTTCTTTCCAGGTGCAACTGAATATTCCATACAAGAAACATATAAATCATCATCATTGACCATGGTTAAAGTAAGGACAAAGTAACGTCTAATAATTGCTGCCTCCTTAATATTCCTTGAAATTAGTTAGTGTGGTTAATAAACCAATAGTTTTGAATTTCAATGCAATAGATTTTTATACACAAAAATACAATATTATAGTGTTATAACTTCTCACATTTTGAATTATTGCAAGATATCATTGCATAAAGTATGGAACAACAATCCAATCACTGATTTGAAAATCAGTGATTGGATTGTTGTGCATCATGGATTTGATGCTTTATGTAAGCTTCAACATCTTCTGTAGCCACATTTAAATCATATAGAAGATCTTCATCTTTACTTTCTATAACTAACTCACGAACCTGGTTGATTGCTGAAATGAGGATAGCACAGTCAATGTATTGTTTATCGTCAGCAGCTATAGTGGGTTGATTTAATTCTGGATCTATATCTGAAAGAGCAAAAAAAGTAGAGTGGCTCTTCAAAGTGAAATTTTTACTGCATTTAGAAGGATAATTACTCTTCAGATACCTTTAACCCTTTTCAAGGAACTTAGTAATATTTTTATACTTCCACTTTTTAGAAATAGTGAAAAGGTTTTATTCCATGAAGAATTCTCCATAAAGAAGTATCTGACATAAGAAGATAATTAGTTTCTTGGCAAATTTCTTTACAAAATGTGATTGTGACTAAACTTCATCATTAAAATGGCATTAGCCACTTTTTATTCCTCTCCATTGCCTTTATTTTATTTAAACCATAAGCTTCATCTTATAGCAAACCTTGAGAAAGCATAAGTTCCAAAAATGTTATATTTTTTCCTAAGGTATTTGGCATATATTTACTTTTTCTTTCTTTGGTATGGAAATTCCTCTTCTTTCATTTTGCGTACTTTTTCTATTTGATGTTTTTTGCAATCAAAGATTTTCATTAATGTTTCTTTATTGTACTTGTTATGATAAATAACTGAAAGCAAAAGACTTTGTCCTAAAGTATAGCTTTATTGAAATATCTTAAATGTTGCAACATGGTCTTCTGGAACCAGTTGAGTTTAAGCATCTTCATCCTCATTGTGTATCAGTTGGGAAATCAATGCCCCTGATTGACCAGGTGCAATCGCTTCAGCAAATATCTTCTCAAGGTGCATTTTAAACTTTTCAAGTTTCTTCTTAACTTTTTTAGTGGTTCTTCGGGTTAAGTCTTCTATTCGCTTTTGCTTTATCTGAAAGGACAGTGGGCTTGCTCCAAATGCTTCACACTTCACAGAGCAATGTAATAAAAGAAATTTATGTTATGTAACTCAAGTAAAGCATGGTATGTAGTCATTAACACAAATATCACACCAAATTGGCAGTCATTTCGTTCCCGCAGTATTATCTTGTTCCATCTACAAATGTAATAAATAAAATGTTCTATCTAATATATAAAATAAATACAAAAAAAAGTTATATATAAATAAATACGTATGTTCTACCTGATATATTATATTATATTACATATAACATTTTATTTATTCATATATAATTTTTTTAAAATTTAGTGTGATATTTGTGTTAATGACTACATACCATGCTTTATTTGAGTTATATAACCTAAATTACTTTTATTACATTTGCTTTGATGACAAAATATTAACTGATGCAGTTATCAGTAAAAGAATTGAAATTTGTTTGTAAAAACTTTTTTTAATTTTAGTCAATAAATAATCATTAAAAAACTAATATGCCAGAGAGCAAGAATTTGCAGAACAAAAACAAATTTGTAGATAGAAGATGAAGGGAGGAATTCTCTCACAGTTAATTTAGATTTTACACTTTTGTATTGCATCACTTGAACCTTTTGTTAAGTACTTTGTTGCATTAAAAAAGCTTACAATGTAATTTTTCTCAAGTGCAGTTTTGGCTTGTACAGTTCCATTATGACAATGTATTATATCAAAATTTTTAATTACAGTAATAATTACTAAGGCTGTAAAGTAGCCATTGCTAAGCATATCTATTATACCGTTGCTAGGATACTTTTTTAGTAAAAATTTGGTAAAATGAGGTTACTTTTAGGACATTTCCATGCTTTTTATCAACTGAGCACATGAATTTTTTTCAGATATCGAAAGATGCATGTTTAAGAAAATTAAATAACTTATACTGTTCATTGTAGACCTAAGGACACCATTGTTATGGGTTGTTATCAAAGTGTGTTGAACGCAAAAAGTGATTTTTGACTTGCATGCACATTGTTTTTGTTCCATATATCAATGTATGCCTTAGTGTATTTCAAAAACACTTAAGAAACTACATGGAAGTAATGACCTTGAGATATATTAGAGCTCAATGTTAGGGTAAAATTTCAAATTTAGTGGTTTTGGACCATGTTGAATTTTTACTTTTACTGTAGAAATCTACCCAGATTAGCAGAAAAATTAAAAAGAAATGTGTCTGTCATATTCATGTTAATAAAATTGCACTCAAAGTAGCATTTGAACTTTATGCACAAATATTTAACAAAATGGGCCATATTCTATGGACCCAGTATCTCTGGAATAAATAAGAATTTTCACAAAAAAATTTACCAAAGGCTTACTTTCATTATTTTCTAC